AAACCACATAATATCACGACCAAATTGGTTCCGTTTGTTCATGCGAAAGTTATTTTATTGAATACTGACGAGATGGAATGATATATGCGCTATAGGTATAGATAGAATGTTACTGAACAGTTGAAATATTCGTAAAATGTTATGCAACGCTGCATATTTTGATCTACGAGTTCAGTCAAACAAGTATGAATGTGAAAAAGCACTAGGGCATTACTTGAAATTAAAAGACTAAAAACTTGCTTCGTTTCTTTATCAATTATTTTGTTAATACATGCAAACATGTATCTTAAAAAATCACCATCAATGTTAAAGACAAAACATACTTTTCATTTTCATAGAAGTACAATACATCGCGTGTTTGCAATTTAATATTATAATAATATTTGCCTCGGGCTTTGATATTTTCAGAACATATCACATCACATTCGTCAGCTAAAAATGTCAATTTCTTTTTATTAAATGAATTATCTATTGCATAATATGGGATAATATTGAATATCAAATCATCTTCAGAAAACGACTTATGAGTTATATTATATTGGAAGGCTACTTAAAAAATTATTCGAATCAACGCTAAATTTGTATTTTGTCTACTTTTATTTGTATTTCTAAATGTCTTTCAAATGAAGTCTACGATGATCATAAGATTCGCGAGCAATTTTTGCATAATGTGAAGTGTGAAACCATACAAGAATGTGGAAATAAACAATTATGCCCCTGTATAATTTGATTTGAGTTCAATGAAATAAACTTTTTTCATTTGGTTCCTTTGAAATATACAACATCTAATTGAAAAATGCGACATATATTAAAACGGGAAATGGATGTGACACTATTTCTGTTACCATTCTATTTGATCCATTAATCATACTAAATATGTTAACTTAATATAAATTCTTCTCACCAAAATGTAACTATATATTACTATTATCCTAAGAATACAATATAGCCGTTTTCCATTATGTATTTGTATATGTTAATGAATGTATACTGCTGATGTTTCCCGCTATTGTGGGACTTGTGCATTTCGTAAATAAATTGAATTTAATTTGAATAGGTTTGAGCATTCCGCCGGAGCAGAGAGATGCCCTTCTCGAAATTTGTAATGTGCTAGAGGTAATTGATATTTTATTGTTTTTAACATCTTACATATGCTTTTGTAAATTATTATCTCATAATAATTAGTATGACAGAGAAGGCGTAAAAACAGCACTTCTGTAAAACACATATAATTAGCTGTAATTAGATGTTTTTGTTTTTACATTTATAAAAGGAAGTGCTTACATATAGTGCCGTACATAGAGCATGCCATTATTTACAAATTAAAAAGAAAAACGGATTTTTTTATGTTAATATACTAGCTTTTTAATTGCGTTTTTGTTTTGATATCTGCAAGTGTGACTCCGTTGCTTTGGTGTATTTGAGACAGTATTGACAGTATGAATTTTATGTGAATGATATATATTAATCATTTTTTTATGTGAATGTTATAGCGTACATTAATATAACTATATGTTAAGAAGAATTAACTATGAATAATTATAAATGTTAGCAAGAAAAGAGATTAGTCTCTTGATCTATTAAAAATTTCATTATTGCCTAGGATCTTTCCAAAGTACCTTCATATGAGAGTTATAAAATATTGTTCAACAGTGATATGCGTATGAGCTGATGTAAAACAGTCTATATAGATTCACTGACGTTCACTTTGATAAAAGAACACTTCCTAGGGTTCTTAGTTTAAACATATTTTATTCATTATCATACACAGTACATAACATACAATCATTCAATATATACAATGATGAAATGGATTAGAACGAAAGATATAAAATCTTATATAGTTCTTCTCCGACTCTATTTTGAATTAACAACAAAGTGATGGCATCAACCTACTGAGACAATGTGTATGAATTCATATACATATATTAGATATACATATGTTAGAGAGAAAAAAAAACCCTTAAGGATACATACATATTCAGACATATATAATAAATTGGGGGAATTATCATATAACGTTATCCTAGCAAATTAAGAACTGAATTGCTTTGGCTGGTTCTGGAGAATACAAATTTAATGGTAAAAAAACGACTGTTATAATGATTACAAGATGTATTAATAAATCATGTTTCGAACCTCTTACTTAGTTTGATATATTTATGAACTGCAGAAAATATAATCTCATTTGCTTCAATTGATTTGGATTCCGTTCCGAACAAGATGATCTCTAATGAAGGAGCTATAATATTTGATACTGTATTAAACAGAATACACCTTATGTTATCAAATCTTTGACATTCATAAAAATAGTGGTAGGTTGACTCAATTTCACCACGCTGACAAAGGGGCGATTGAACAATATTCTTTAAAAATAAATGTTGATTGAGAGAGCTGCAATTTCTCCGGAGTCGCGTGTGAAGTATTTGATATTTCCTGTCACCGTAATAGAATAAAGAATTGCTTTTGCTACTTCCCTGATTTAGGAGAGACTTAAAGTTGTTTAATGAGTTTGCATTTCTTACATTGAGTGGTAACTCATTCCATTCTTTTAACGTTGAAGGAACAAAAGAATTAGCGTATAGAGAAGTTCTTGTAGGTATAATTTGGAGATTTGTTGAGTTACGAAGATTATACTAGGGTTCTTGATAATTGATTTACGAAACAAATATATAAATCATCAGGCAATGTATTCAGGTTTTATATTAACTCCATTTTAACCTCTTTAACCACAGAATCATCCTTTCCAAGTTAATACCATATACATAATTATATATATACATAATTACCCAATATAAAAAAAATGACCAAAATGTAAGGACCTGATATATTATACAAAAAATTACCATATAAATATTATAATAAGCGCCCATATAAGTGATATGACAGTATAACTGAGGGGAATTTACGGAAATCAGTATCGGAACTTCATGCCCTCTCAAAGAATTTCGGGAAAAATATAAAAAAAGTGCATAATAACCTTATATGATTCTTTAGGATACGCATAACTGTACAGTTTATTTTTTCACCTTTTGTTGTATCACAACTAAAATCCGTTGCTTGTTTGAATTGTAATCTTGATGAAAGGCGTGGACTTTAACGTCGTCGATAAGAAGATGCAAGTTGAGGTTGCATGCTGTTGTTGATATTATAATCATCATAAGAAGGTTAGTACTTAGCTATTGTAACGGCTTTTAGAGACAATGTGAAGAACAACATTGACAAAAAGTTGTTCCTGCAGTATTACATTTGTCAAAATGTACAAAATACTACTTTAAGTCCTATAGGATCAATAATACAAAATTAATACAAATATTAAAAAATAGTTCGAAGTTAATGAACTTACATGTAACTGTGAATATAAAATTACAAAAATAACAGTTTAAGGGAGACACAGGCATAGCTATTATTTCCTAGTTTTAATTGTTTTCGTTTACTTAATTATTCTGAAAATGCCCTCAAAATAAATAAACATGGCAGTAATAAAAACAGAACGTTTCTCATTAAAAATAATAAAATAGTGGGTTTCTTTACTTGATTCATGTCGGTCCGGTTAGAGTGTAAATATTTCACTATAGTTGTCACAGTGAACTCAGCAAATGTTAAAGATCATGTCAAATGAATGACTTTAAAATTGTTCAAGTCACGTGACTTACTCGGTGATTCTGTTGGCGTCCAAATTTCGTTCTACATAATAATAGTAATAACAATAATAACAATAATAATAATTATAATAATAATAAAAATAATTAAATAAATAATAATAATACTTATAAAAATAATAATAATAATAATAATAATACATTATATAGATATGTTTACGCTCTTAACAAAAAAAATATATAGAATTTCTACAGATATTAGATAATATGTCATTTCAGAGTGAATTGAGTACATAACATTACATTAATATTTAGTTAGTATTTTTGTAAGTAGAAATAATAAAGATTATGCAGGAGATAGGATAAAGACCCTGTTTTCTACTTTTAGAACAAGATACCGGATTTTGTTTACTTTTGGTTTCCATGTAAGTACACGTGTGTTTCTTTATGTTTACATATGATTAACAAATAAGACAAAATGTGATTTTAGTTAAATAGAAACAATAGCCTAATAAACAAATATAAATCTTGTATCCGATATGGTAAACATATTTAAGTTGTAACTGAACTAAACTTTGAAATAGTAGGAATATAATTTTTATGCAATCTAAAAAAAGTAAAAATAAAACGTTTGACCATGGAAGCGTTCGTTGTTGTTCCAGATGAGGTGCAAAATGACTCAAAAGAAAGCTTATTATATAAAAATTACAAAGAGGTTGAAACGTTTGTACTCAAAAACGATGGTATCAAATAATCTTAACTCTGTCATGTTATGATGATAATTATTATATTGTGTATTTATTAATAATGTTTATAATTGACTATTTTCATCTAAAAAAAATTCATAAAATTACTTCTAAGATATTACATACTTGAGGTCGGAAAACATGTCCATGCCACGAACAGATTTTAATACAACAATTTTATGATAACCATTTTAACTAATTTCACATTAACTCGGAGTTAGAGAGAGAAAGAATAAAATTTTATTTAAAAAAAAAATACATGAAAGTTATTCTCTGGTCAAATGTGATATTTGAAGATATTGATAATTGTTATAGAGTATCTTTACTTTGTAAATATTTTAATACAATATTAAACAAACATAAATCTTGTCTTCATACAAAGATGATATGTTATGCTTTAAAGGGAGACACAGGCAAAATTTTCATTTCTTCGTTTGGATTTCCTTCCAGGGTTTGTTCAAGTCACATGACTTGTTTTAAAACAACTCGGTGATTCTGTCGGCGTCTGAACTTCGTTCAATATATCTAGATATATTTACGCTTCAAACCCAAAATATATAGAATAAATACAGAAATTCATTCTGTGACTTTAAAAAGTGTCATTTTAAGCGTTATTCAAACACATTAAATCACTTTAATATTTTTGCCCTTTAAAATCTACATACTCTATGTGGACATTATACGAATATAAAATGTCATCATAAAATGTCACTTATTTCAAGAAAGAACGACCAACTTGAAATTGACCCGTATTAGGGAATGCAGCTTCCCATTCATAGATCGGATATCCTGAATTTCTAATAAGATATATAGTCATAAAGAATTTTATTGATTTCAACATATTTTAATGTGATATCAATATTTCTCATATATAAACTCATATATGAGCATAGTTTATCTTTAAGGATGTGTAAAGGATGAAACAAATTATATCTAATTGAGTGTTATAAATGTCTTGGTTAGCCTTCACTTACTTTATATGATATACTTTATAACCTATTAATAAAATTTACATAACAATGGTACATCTAGATGTCATTTAAGCTTACCTATTGTCAAATTAAAGTTCATGATGCTGTTAAATTGTATGAAGAATAAGAAGATTCTGTCTATTCTTTTATTTATCTTATATTAGATATTCTAACACAGTCATGTTGAAATGACAAGAGCACATGTATGAATTCTGGTATCAGGGAAGGGTCATTATAAAATAAAATACTTTGCGATATTAATTACAAATAAAGTACAAGGGAAGTTACACAGTAAGCAGTATGAAATATCACATTAAAGAGTTAACTTTTATTGATGCCAAAACAAATTCCATATCATCAATAGAAAATATATTTTTATCAATTAATAGCTATAGACTGGAAACAAGTTGAAGGTAAATTACGACAGTTTTTATTGGAGTATGACAGTGCTAAAAGTGATGGTATGTATTATTCATATTCAGTATCACATTTACACAAACTTTATAAATGTCCATATTCTACTTAAATTTCAAACAAGTTAAGACGGAATGTCAACGTACACAATATTGAGCTAAATATATCCATATTCTACTTTAAAAAATTAGATTCTATCAAGTTTAGCACGCACTATTTAGCTAAATATATTCATGAGTGATGTGAGCCTCCTTATTTAAAGCAGATTAAGAGTGCTCGTTATCTCATTAAAATAAGTTGTGTTTGTTCGGGAAACATTCGGAATGTTGTTTTATACAAAGCACATAATTAAGCAAAATCATATTATCAAAACTATTTGCATAGCTCATAATCCATATTGTTTCTGATGAATGATGTGATCATCCTTATTAAAAGCTGATCACGATTTCACTTTAATGCATTCAAATACATTGTGTTTAAAATATTGCTCAATAAAATGCACATAATCAAGCAAAATCATTAACTATTTTTATTTTCTCATTATATAGCTAATATTCCGTAATGTTTCTTTCAGAATTGAGGTTCGGGATAGAGTCGACTACTTGGCATAAAGTATTCAGGACTCACGGTAAGCATTTTAGATGCGTGTTAGATGTGTGCATACCATAATAGTGGATGTACTTTACAGCAAAAAGGGCACGCATCGTCGCCTGGAGCTCTTGAGATTAAAGTGATGATATATAAATAATGACATCGGGAATGAAATAAGCAAAAGCACAATATAAGGAGACAATTCCTCGTGTGATGTATCTTCGTGGTCAAGTATTTCTATATTATGATCCATGACATGGCTTTCATTGCTGCTTATTTCAAATAAAGCAATCAATGTATTGATTACAAATCCTAATTATATAAATTTAACACGTTTCCCCCAAAAGGAATGAATTACCCGGTGTTTTGGTCTTTGGTCCAATGATTCTCAAACGATATACGTATCGTATAGCTCGTTTCACATAATTAAATAAGAACTGACAACAGCCAGGCAGACAATATAGATCGAACGGTCATATGTCTTACTAGGCTAAAATATCTAAACTACCGGCCACAATATGTCATTCCATTTATGCAAGAAAGACAGAGAGACAAACGGACATAAATTCAGATAAATCATCTGGGTGAAAAACAGAAAGACAGTCATCCAGTCGAATAGGGAGACTGACAGAAAGACGTAAACGGATGAGACTACTTCACTTTAAAGATCGTCGGGTACAATTTTACTAGCAAAAACATTTTAATGTTATATACCTGGCTTTTACTTTACTTATACTTACTTTACGTTTTTTTTTTCAGTTTGCTATTGTCATATATTTAAAAGTATTATTATTACTGAAAACGTAAGAAGTCACTATAATATTATAATTCATAAACGTACAAAGATAATAAAATTGAAACCTTTGAAATTATTCACCTTTTATAAAGTCCCGGGACTAAAGTGCTAGTGTCAACATTATGAATGAAATTGTAAATTCAAAGCCTATTATAAGAAAAATGTACTAAATCGAAACATTTGTTGTTGTTGTTTTTTTGTTGTTTTTGGAATTTATTTTCAAATTTTGATTAACATAAAATATGCAAGAGCATGAATCAAACACCGTCTGTCGTTACAGATAGGAATATGTAGCTCTCGGGTAACTTTAAGCGAAAACTCGTTACCGTCATGTACAGTTTTCATCGAGCTAGATATTCTGAGCTATAGCGCCAGCCTGTGTATGATCCTTATATTCCACACGCTATTAAGCTTTATGTTCCGATAAAAGTAATGGACCTTAGTTTAATCGATGTCACAGGTATGTTCGGTAACAATGCTCTGATATACTTGATAATCGACTTCATCCCGTCGAAGTAATTCTATGAATGTCAAATGCACATTTACCTCCTCTTCAATTCTTTTCAAACGTAGTACCAATCTAGCGCAAACTCGAGACATGTTCGTATTAAGTGAATTTGTAGTAATTCTTCATTTTAACTTATTCGTTTGTCAGGTTTTCGTTAATCAAATTATTATTTGAGTTTCGTTACATACTTTTTGCTTGGAATTACAAGTAAAAATGTAATATACATTTTTTTCAGAGCGAAGTTTTTCAGAACCCATCATAAATTGCTTGTATGAACTGTGTAAGGAAATAGAGGTAATATATATTTGCAACAAAAACTTTTCAGTGAAATGTATATAATTTTGTTTTAATTTCTGATAAAGACATTATGAAACAACGAATACAAGTGAAATTTATTGAATATGTTTGTATTTCATTTTTTAAGTCATATTGAATTTGAGTTTATTTATTAGATAATCATATTTCTTTTTTCATTACTTTTTATTTCTTATTATACAAAACAGATACAATGTCAATCAATTATCAAATAAAGTTACAATATTTGCATGGAAGCTGTAGTTGATCATACAAAAATCAAAACAACATTATAGAGTTGGCCCTCCCCATATATAATGACACTAGAAATACAATATAAATTATTTTTTTGTTAATATCCCTTATTTCTATATACCTGAACTTTTTATATATGCTTGAATTAAGTTTGGAACTTATGTTATACCTTTCTAACCATTTATTTACTACATAACTAATTCAATCGAACCTACGAGCAAGCGTATGCCAAGAATATATTGTCATATGCTATTGACAAATCATTACTATAAAAATTATATATAATTATATTTTAAACTTAAATCATTATTTACAGTCAATCATGCTTTTGTGAAGCATGGACGGAAATACAGGTGTTTTTCATTTCAAACTTAATTTTGTTCTTTTAGGAAGTACATTACAAGGGGAAATATATATCTTGTAAGTATAGCATTTTTATAATTTTAACGGAACTTTACACGAGGAGTTATTACGTGTAGGACATGTTATTTGTTAAACAAATTAAATATTGTCTTGATTAAATTGCTGATTGTTGCTTGAGTTTTTTATATAATCGTCAGTTATATTTGTGTATACGCGTATATATTTTATAATTTTTAGATAACACAATCACTTCGAAGGAAATAATTATAGAATATCAAACATTTGGACGTGCTGTGCTCGAAATGGGTAAGTCCAGCGCTTCGTTTTGCACATTAATGAATATAAGGGTCACAAATTCAGCTCAAGACCTTCTTGGACATTTGGCCATCAGTTAGGCAAGCTGACACTTGCAGTCTAACCAAGACACTTTTTTACCCTTATACTGTCTATAGTTTCAGCCACTATCTCCAGTCATTACTTCATATGATGACGTCACATGGTTTGCAGCAAAACAGAACTAAATATAGTCGCTGTTATAGAGGGAGACAGAATGAAACCATTTAGATAATCTCAAAACATGATCAAGAGCAAGATTAGTAACATACATGGTCGGGATAGACAGGGCTTATGCGATTCCATGCAAAAAGTGAAGCCAAATGCATTCTCTATCTGTTGGTTGCTACCTTTTCATATTCTGAGACCGAAAACTAAGATTACGAATGGACGGATCCAAATTCAAATCTTGACAAATCCATTATATGTTTAAAACAGGATAGGATTTAACTAAAGTCATTCTGTACATATATATCTTGATGTAAAAACCTACATATCTCTTCAGCGAAATAATAAAACATAAGACACGCTTATAATGATAGCTGATGTAAATGTAACTAATTAAGTCAAATTTGTAGTTTGCAATGATTTAAAAGAACAACAATGTCATCTTGGACAATTAATCGCAAAAAAGCTATGCTCCGGTTAAGCGGTTTTATACAGAGGCAAAAGTTCGAATTTGAATTGTAAATTGGAATGCGTCGGTCGTCAAAGTTTGAATTGCTAGAAAAAGGTTTTAAGGTTATTATCCACCGCCTTATCGAAGAAAAAACGGGGGAAATAGTAATAGAATCCGTCCGTCCGAGCAAACATTTTGGGTTTAGGGGCTTTATAACAGTAAAGAGAACAAAAGAGAGCAATAGGTTCATTCCGTGATCAAAGGGTTTAGGGGATAGTAGCCCTTACGAAAACAAAGAAAATAACAAAGAAAATAGCCCCGAAACCTAAAATGTTGGAACGTCCGTCTGTTCGCCCGTCCGTCACACTTTCGTGTCCGGTCCATAACTTTGTCATTTATCAAAGCAATTTGAAATAACTTGGCGCAAATGTTTGCTATAATAAGACGATGTGTCATGCGTGACAACCAGACCCCTGCCTCCAGGGTCAATGTTGTACTTTCTCATTCAAGGTCAACATTGTCTGTTTGAGGGTATGTTGTGTCCGGTCCACAACTTTCTAAACAATTAAGGGATTTTGTAAATACTTGCCACAATTTTCACAATAATGAGACGGTGTGTCATGCGCAACAACCGGTCACCTTCCTTCAAGGTCAAGGTCACACTTGGAGGTCAAAGATTAACATAGTTTGTTATAGGGTATATTTTGTGTCCAGTCCATTACTTTTTCATAGATCAAAGAATTTTGAAAATATTTGGCACAAATAGTCACTATAATAAGACAATTTGTCATGCACAACACCTTCATCCCTACCTGCAAGGTCAAGGTCACACTAAGAAGTCAAAAATTAACATAGTTTGTTAAACGGTATATTCTGTGTCCGATCTAGAACTTTTTCATTAGTCAAGGAATTTTGAAATAACTTAACACAAATAGTCACAATTATAAGTCAATATGTCAAATACAACACCTGTACACCTACCGTCAAGGTCAAAATGACAATTAGAAGTCAAAGATTAACTGAGTGTTTTATGTAGTATATTTTGTGACCCGTCCATAACTTCTTCGTAGATCAAGTGATTTTGAAAATACTTGGCACTATTAGTCACAATGATAAGATAATATGTCTTGCATTACACATGTGTCCTTACCTCCAAGGTCAATGTGTCACTTAGAGGTCAAAAAATGAAATAGTCTGTTATAAGGATGTTGTGTCCAGTCTATAATTTTTTTATAGATCAAAGTATTTTTTAGAATACTTTGCACAAATAATCACTGACAATAATAAGACGATATGACGATATGTCAGGCGCAAAAAATGGTTCTTACCTCTCAGGTCACACGTAGTGGTCAAAGATACTTTGTTATAGGGTGTATTTTGTGTCCCATCTATAACTTCTTCATAGTTTATTTGTTGTTTCTTTTCAATAATTGGCACAAATAGTAACAATAATAAGGCGATATGTCATGCACAACACCTGCACAGCTAACTCTAAGGTCAAGGTCACACTTAGAGGTCAAAGCTTAACATGATATATTTTTGAATTTTGTGCTTCATTTTATTTTTTAAATAAATTTATTGTTGCATTTGCAGATCTCGCATTGATCATAATTTTGGACTGAAAGTCCTGAGATCCATACCTCAATTTTTTGAAATCGCACAATTTTATGCTTCATATAAAACATCCCCGATGCGAGGGACGTTGGCAACTGTCTGTTACAAATTCTTGTTATAGGTTAGGATCTGTACACGCTTCTATAGTCATGAACAAACAGAATCTTTAATTTCCGCCTCCAGTGCAAATCTGGTTCAAACCCTTTGAAGAACAAGTTCAAAATGTTTAAACAGTAAAACCATTTTCAAAGGAGCCTCCACATACATTTTATTAAACTAAATCATTTACTTTGATCTATGTTTAGTAAAAAGTTTAAATCAGACTAAAGTTATACATATATAATTTATAAGATCTGGAATTTTACATAAATAAATAAATATATATATGTGTGTGTTTTTGGTAAATAATTTAACGTAAAATGTCAAGTCAATGTCCCTTAACCGGCCATTGTATTTCATGTTAAGTGTGAATGACATTCTGGCAATTTGCCTTGATACCTAGAGCATAGTAAAATTGAAGCATATTGCTCAGACAGTTGTACAAAATTTTTTACGTTTATTTATAATTGTTTATTAATATTTAAGTAGAAACGGGGTTAAAGTATTTTGATTTGTAAAAACTTGAGTTTCATGTTCGATCTTTAACTTACTGGTATTGTTTAGTTACATTTTACGCAAAAGAATATGAAAAATCGGTTAAGAAATATGTCGAAAAAAACATGTTTACCACAAGTATGTTTAAACTGTTTAGGATCATTTTTAAATTAATATATAAATTGTAGGTAAATAAAGCAATTATGTTCGTAAACATTATCTTCGTGAACATGTCATTTCAAAAGAATATGAATTAAATATCGTTTCACAACTTCTTACGAAATTTAAATTACAAAAGATATGCTCGTATTATTGTACTTAATTTTATTTTAACTCAAATCTCATAATGATTTATGCAGAATGCCAATAAAAGGGTTTACATAGGAAATGCAAGGCTACAATCATCACATTGCAACTGAAACGCATGTGTATGTCGAATTATATCATATTTCTGACTATGACAAAAATCATGTTATTTAATATAATAATCAGCTAGTATACTTTTGCTTAAGAAATCGTGGACTGGGAGGATATTAGAAAATCATTGAAGCAAATACTTCACGACTGGAACAGAGGTATGTAATTTTAATTATTCATAATCATTTAAAATAAGTTTTTTCATCTTACACTAATCACTACTGCGTGCCACGCATACGTGTCCGTCGAAATTATTACCATTGTTTGAATTATAATTATTGTCTGTTTTTGGTTAACAACATATCCTTCGCCATAGAATAAAATTTATAATAGAATCACATTTGATTAAAACTTTGTTATATTTTGCAAAACGACATTTGCCGTTTGATGAATCATAATTTATTCATTGATATATTTGAATTTTGAGCAGGCATTTTTGTGTATTATAAAGATGTTTGATTTGCCAATTATACTTGCATAGAAAAGAAACATATGTGTCCAATATGTAGCAAACGGTTTATTTCTGATTAATGTTATACTAAGCATATATTTTTTATTTAATTCGTTAAGTTTTTGCTGAGATATGTTTATGATAGGTTTTAAACCACACTCAGGGTGAAACTTTGCAGTTTGTTATTTCAATAATTTGAGATTTGATATTCTAGTTTAGAACTGTCGATAGTTGTTTAGAACTACCCAAAAATAAATGAAGAAAAATGAGAAGACATATATAGGAAAGAGAACAGTTCAACTGATACTTTTTTTACACACAAGATTTCAGAAATTATGATATAATGTATTGACTTCTCTTATTAAACTATATAGAAACACGCTGGAGAGTGTTTAAAATCTATTATCTTGATAGTTAAGCTCTTTTTAGCACACAAAAATATACTACTCAACATTTGCAAATAATCGTTATTTTTTCATGAGTTTGTTTGGTTAATTTAGTGAAAATCAAAAATAAGATTTTCCTCTAATATGAATATACGGGCGTCATAAATTTGTAAAGCACTTACACATATGAAATGATCCCCAGAACTACGCACTGTAGCCCAAGAAAAAACATACACATGGACACAGACTACTCATGGCCTAATATCTTAATATACATTTTCTAATTTAGCAAATTTTCACCTACTCTATTGTCAACATTTGACTGAATTCTATGTCAGTTTAAAAAGTAACAGATACAAAGTTATCTAATCAAGGAGGATATATATGGAGACATGGGAATGCTACCGCTGAGTCTTCACAACGGAAGGCCGATAATTAAATTGGCGTTTTCACGGATGTTGTCTCCAGAATGTTGAAACGATTCCGTAAGAATGTAAATGTTTTGAATTTGTATACCGGAGGTCGAGCATGCTTAACCGCTGAAGCTCAAGACCTATATCTTTTTTACGGTATTCCAAGGGACCCGGGTTCGAGAATCGGTCAGGCTGCACATTTTTCTGAAACATCAGTAAACAAGAAATTTGATTTAAAAAAAAATGATGTTATTTCATATTGAATATAGACAGTTGTAGGTAAATGCGTTTGTCATTTGAATGAAATATGTAAATGCAAGTATTTCATCAATTCATAACATCAGTATTTGACAGGAAATGCAACGAACCAATAAGCACCCAACTACGTTGTGGGCGAGTTTGATTGTAATTGTTGTAAATGACTCGAACACGTTAACAAAGAGGACTCATTCCGACTTTCGAGTACAAAGCTACACAGAAAGTTTTCTGTTCTTTAACTTTCTGTGTTTTTACGTTATCGATTTCAGTAACAGTTTTATAGACAAAGATAATATTAAAAAAAAATATAAAGTAATGTGCCAGCGATTTGTAAAAGCCAGTCTTTTATCACAGGTTCATGGTCTGTTCTTCTGTCAGTGGCGGCTATGTCTTTTACACACATATTTAACCATTCGTAACGCTATATTTGGTCATCGTATATGTTTTATGTTTCTTCTGCTATTGAATTTGTCATAGAAAGAAATTTCAGTTTGATTACATGAGTAAATGAACAATAGAATTATGCAATCAAATTTATGTTTTCTTAGAACATGGCTTTCAAGGCATTACTGTCGAGGATCTGGATGGTAAACAGCACATCATCTATAAAATGAGGTCCTATAGAAATGATAATGATTATCTCCTAGATCAAGTTGTGGAGAAAACTGGCATTTCAAAAGAAGAGTTTGTACTTGTGTACGGAGAGAGTGTTATTTCCCCAGGAGAGTATTTGGAAATACCCGACGGTGCAAAAATAAAGCTTATTCCGTTGAAGAAAGGTATGTAAGAAATGAGCAAATGTTAATATTTTGAAGAAATATATAAGCTCATATTATAAACTAAGACATTATTTCAGCAGTTGAAATAAGTACGATGCTTTTGTAAAAAATCTATTAAATCAAAGATCGGCATTGCTCGCCTAAATGTTTCAATCCAATCAACAAAACGGCAATTTGGTCATTTGTTGTACATGTGGAGGAATATATATTTTTACCTTAACGTCGATATATTTTTCTTATTATTTTTTTTTCAAAATTTGCAAACCATTAAAAATAGAAAGTTGTGGTAAAATGTATTTGATCTTTGTCATTTAAATATTATATGTTAATGTCACTTTTGTATAAAGTCAGACTAGAAACCTCACAAAACCTTAAATACGGAAAAAAGGGTTGTCAATATTGATTGTAATTGTTGTAAATAACGCGCAAACGTATGAAAAAGGGGACTAATTTTGAACGCAGCATGATATTGCATTAGCCGTCAAATCACTAACATTAAAAGATTATTTTATTCTGATTGTTTTGTTAAAGTAAATTACTCTTATTAATTATTCGTATATCTATCAACACTTTACTTTCAAAACAAAGCTACACAGAATACTTTAGATTCAGATTTACTTTTTCTTTACAACAATTGTCTGTGTTTTTACATAATTGACATCTTGTCATAGTTTTATAGACATCAATACATATACAAATACAGGGTTGCTTTACTTTGGCTCAAGTCGTTAATCGCACATTCATGGCCTTGTCAAATTATTTTCTTCGTCATTGTCGATTTATGCTTTTATACAGAAATCGGGCCAATCGTAGCGATATTATTTACCATCTTAAATAGTGAATGTTTCTTCTGCTATTTCATGTGTCATTGGAATAAAAAAAACTAAGTTTGATTACATTAAAAAATTGAAAAGTAATTTTGTAGAAACAAATTCATTCCTTTTTTCTTAGAACAAGGTATTATTGTCGAGGATCTAGATGGTCAACGGCACATTATCAAAACAAATTGGAGGATGCACACAAATGATGTTGATTATCTCATCAGCAAAGTTGCGGATAAAACTGGCATTTCAAAAACAAATTTTGTACTTGTGTACAGAGAAAAGCTTATTATCCCAGGAAAGCATGTGCACATACCTGATGGTGCAAAAATACAGCTTCTTCCTGTGACGAAAGGTATGTAAGAAAATAGCAAATGTAATAACTTTGCAAATATTTGTATGCTTATCTGAAAAAAATAATCGAAACAACATCAATAAAGTTAAACTTTGCTCATCCTTGAGAATATGTTTTTTAATAACACTATATATAATTCATATTACTTGCACCGTTAGTGTGCATAATATTTATCATGACATATCTACTTTGTGTGAATTCAAAATATGTTTATTTCATATTTACAAAGACTGTGTAGTAATTATCAACATTTTCTTATATCTAAATTGAGCACAGTATATCTTTAAAACAGTTGACATTAAATTCATTATCTTTATAGTAAGATGATAAAGAATTGGCAGGCAATGGGACTGGAAGAAATATTCATAGTTACATGTATTACTCTTTCATTCTTTTTCTATTTTGATAGGTTGTATTGGTATTGCAATATACACGACCTTTACCAACAGTATGTCTCATAATAATCTAAATATTTAAGTCGAAAAAGATATTTATATTCTTTCTGAAAGCTACATAGTCACGTAGTTTTCAAAATATCCTATTTCATCTTATTTTCATTTAAAAGACGATCATAATTATATGTTAGACATCATGTACTTCAGACCATAATCCTCCTGCAGGCTTCACTGGATTTGTGAGAGGCAAATTCAATACTATATATGGACAGCTTGTTAGACTAAGTAAGTTTTTGTGATACGGGGGATGATAAACAATTAACCGGACTTAAAATATTATTCATTACTTGTTAAATGCATTCAGACAATACTTCACATAGCATAAATTGAAATATGTCCCTACATGATACAAAAAAAAATTCAAAAGGTTAGGCTGTTCATAGCATTAACATGTAGAGCGATCCAACACACGATATAACCTTAAGAGCCGACGTTACATGCTTATTGTATTGGTGGCGAAAAAGTTTTCCTGTAATGACGAAAACCTTCATCCTTTCAGCTGTGACTTGATGTCTGGAAAACTCCCAACTGTATCGATTTATAATATGTCCTTAACATATAATTTTGCTGAATGATGATGTATGATGTATACAAAAAATAACATAATATGACTCAGAACAAAATTGTTATTATATCAAAATAGATATCACGCTTATCCGATTTTGAACGTGACTGTTGTCAAAAGTAAATGAATAAAAATTGATAATTTTGTTGAATTTGTAAAAAAAATATATCAAATAACTTTGCAGTTGTTAAGAGAAAATATAACTATTGATGAACTAACCATTTTTATTTTAAAAGCTTTAGTTACTGCACCGTCAGGTAGTTAATTGTCAAACAGCGATGATAACGCCAATCAATTGTTTGTCTTTTTTCAACGTCTAGGCGATTGCCGTCACCAACATCCTTTTAACTTTCTTCTTTCTGACAATTCCCTTATTGTCAACGATCCTTCCATTCTTAATCAATCGTTTATGTCAAATCTAAAAATAGAGTTGTTGCTTACTGGACCTTACCCTAAATAGACAATATTTTTTGTACGTGTAAGGCGGTTCCTCATCTTCCTTTTTACAATTAATTCTTATTGATTTAATTTCGAGACGTTCTGACATAAAATTTAACACGAATATTAATTTAACGAGCGATGCTGGAATTCTTATTGCATAGGCAAATGTAGATTAAATAAAATAACTGTTTTCTGACAATGTCATAGATATGACGCAGACGTGTTTGTGTGTTTTGAAACCTTTACACGCCATATTGTAAAACATACGTGTCATAAAACGCCCTTCAGGAGTGCGAAGTGATGCACTTCGCTAGTGTGCGTTATCATGTTTAAACGCTTGCTGTTACTGACAGATTAGATTAAGGGCCAGTTTAGAAGTATTTGTTTTTCGATTAAGTCTGATATGTTACAATAAATAATAGCTTAAAAAAACTTTAATTGACAGCCCCAGACCGGTTTAATTTGTATCATCTCTCGTAGATATCGATACAAATATTTAAAATTATCTGGAAAACATATATGAAAGTCATGTTTCTCATATTATGAATAATTATGTGATATGGATAGGCATTTTGCATTGTAAATATAATGGAATTATATTGATAAAACTCTCCTCTTCTTTTCTTAGACTAACAGATACAACATTAAATGATTATAGTATATTGATATTCAAAACAAAAACATTAGGAACAATATACAGTTCCAGTAAATTATTATGCAGCGTGACTTTTCAATCAGTACAGAATGTATGACAAGACTGAAAAGAAATTATAAATTTTACCCTTAATCTTATTGTATTTTTTTCTATGGGATGACAGTTGATAACGTGTGTTTTCTTTATTTTCAGTAACATTCTTTCCCAAGGCGTTTGAAGACACTACACGTTTACTCTCAGAGAAAGACTTTGTGAGGATATCGCAGTTAATAGGTAAAGGGTGGAGTATGCTGGGAATTGAGCTTGGCTTTACCAAGGTGAGGTTGCAACAGATAAAAGAAGACGAGCAAAGTGTTGTCTCACGTATATTTGAAATGCTGAGCCAATGGAGTCAAGAACGAAAAGATGGAGCCACAGCGGGACAACTGCTTACTGCAGTCATGAAAAGTGGAGTATGCTGCGAATTCGATGAACTTAAACGTGTCCTTCTTATTGGCTTGTAACAAAACATTCCTTGCCTACAGAAACTAATTATACTGTCGTAATGATTTGTTCATGTAAACAAACTTTTGACAAGACGAAGAAAAACAACAAGGGACATCTAGTACTCTGTCATATGTTTGTGGACAAATATTTTAATTGTCAATTTATCACATATATCTTGTTCAATTTATGCAAAAGAATAACATCAACTTAGATAACTCATTCGTACAATAACATACATTTTTTGTTAATTAGCAACAGGAAGACATAACCTATCATTTGTAATGTTTATTTAACCAATATAACATAGTTTTACTCAGTACAATTACCCTTTTAGGGAAATCAGCTTTTATCCAATAACTTCTTTAAATTATGATTTGGAACCATGTTTTAAAGATTGTTTGCCAAATTTGTTTTAGTTGCATACTTTTCTTACGATTTTCTTAATATATTAGCATAGCATTTTGATTCAGTTACTTTTATATTAGTGCGTATTCTTAAATGATGCTTTTTTACTCGCAATGGTTCACTGTTAAAATCTGCTCTTTAACTAACTTGTCTTTACATTTGTTTTCGGTATATCAGAATGGAACATGGTTATTACAATGTTATGATTCAAGACATACCCTATATATTAATATGGTTGTGTCACAATTACAGTATCGGTACTGTGTGATTTCATTAATCTGTCAATAACACACCGATTACACGACCAAAGCAAACAATATATTAATCTTCGATATATTTTCGTTAAGTTCCGTGAGATATACACAGTAAGATGCCATTTCAAATAATTTGTATCCGTGCAGTTATTGTACTTAGCGATATAGCACAAAAAGGTAAGCTACGGATCTAACATTTCTAAGTGCTCTAGTGTTGTAAGATAGGGACCGCTTATTTCCATGTTATTTTTCTTATTTACATTTTCAACATTATTGAAGCTATGATTGTTTTTTATGTTTATTCGTTTTGTTTAGAAATGTTTTGCTCTTATTTTAGTATAGTCTATACACTTGAAATAACTTTAATTTATATTTAAAATTCATTCTGATTAAAATATATTAATTTCCTGTCAATGCCGTAAAACACAACCCAAATCGAGACAAACAATATTTCAAAGTTGCATCATGTCCGTGTAGACAATCATACAAGCATTCAGCCATTTCAATTAACATATACAGCAAAAAGAAAGAATATGTCTTAAACTTTGGCAAACGTAGGGATCGAACAACAGACCTCTCACATATGAGATAATTACATAAGCGACAGTGCTTTTGCGGATGAAGCGACAAACCTTACATTCAGCACGTGCGACTTTCAAAACATTAGTCATATACTCTATATTAATATTCGCTAACTACACAATGGGATCGAATATTTAATTGAGTGCTATTAATAATGCTTTCATAATTAACAGGTCAATAAAATCAGACTATAACTTTTTTCAAATGTAACAAAACAAAAATCATACCTTATGATAGTTGATGTACATGTTTATAAAAAAATGAGTTTGTTTATTAAATAAGACAATTGCAATCATACCTCTATTATATTGAAGCACTCCATAACATTTATGAAACCATACCACAAATTTATCTTTTTATAACGTTTTGTAAAAGATGAGTACTTTTGTATGCTATCAATTGCTATATACATGCATTCTACGCAGTTTTATGTTCACGTATATTTGTAGAGAATCAGTCTAAACTATAACAACAACAACAACTACAGTACTTAAAATATATTTTCGGTTTGTCAGTGTGCTTAAGGATGTAGTGGTTTGATATGTCTATTGATTGCAGAAAAGTTTTTGATTTTGACAAAGTGTTTGAAAACTTTCAGAACGAAGGATGTTTTCAATTTAATCAGCTTTATTTTGAGAGTTTGGTTTAAAATTGAAATACACAAACAAAAAAAGGAACTGTGAATTAACTTTCAGTAAAGGTTTAAAATACTACTCGGGCGGACTGTTACTGTTTCAAAATATAATAGTCATAATTCTTATGTAAACAAATTTGAATATATTCAGCCCAGTATTTTTTTATAATTACAAACAATGTCAAATTTAGGAGCATGTGCTCTTTTTTGGTAATCGTTGAAAATACGCGTACGATATCTTGTTTGCCAAATAAATATATCTTAACAAATTTTTTACACTTCTCATTTATTTTGTTTTTGCTTTTGTCAAGATGCTTTTTAAAAATTGTTAATATTAAAGAGTATAAAGCTATATCTGATGAAATATTTTTATGAAATATAAATTATCTTTGGTAAAATAATGCTGATTTTCTGCTTTTATCGTCGATTCTGGAAAGATTTGTAGCAAATACTGTTTCTGTTATTTAACACACATGCAAACTGTACGGAAACACAATAACGCATTCCGTAAAAGTAATATGCTACTTTTTTAATAAGCCTTTTATCCTATAATCAATGATTTCAATCATACGCAATTTGTTACAACATTTACCAACAGGCATGTATTTTTTCATGCAGGCATTTTTAATTTTTTTTTTCCCAAAATTTCATCAAAAATTGTTTGGACTGCAAACAGCATAGGTATAGCTTTGTACTCTTCAAAGTGTATGTATATGAACTATTTCTGAATAAAACATTCAAAATATAAGCATTTGTTTATAAAAAGTTTATTTTCAGATTTATATTTCATCAAGGCATATCAACTTGTAAAAATGTTGTCTAAACAGCAGAACAGATTTCCGAGTTTTTGAATGTTAACATTTGATCAAGATTTTCTCACACAATTACTCTTCCATTCGTCTGATAAATTGACGTCATTATTGTTGCAATGCCATTTCTAGCACAAGATACGGCTCTCTTTTCCAATTAGTATCCACAAATTTAACACAGCCTTGCAAACTTTAATTGATTTTATGATGTAGTACAATAGAATATGAATTATTGCCCGTAAATCTCACGGCATTCTTTAAAATGTCACTGCTTTTTTATTGCGTATATACTGCTGTTTACGGTACTAGTTTTAACCTTTTTATTGCGTTCTCACGGAATTGTTACGACGACCATTGTGTTGTCAAGTCAAAAAATCTAATGTAGGGCATAATTAACAAAAAGTACGAACATGTACCATAAATGATGATTGCAGAACGCTTTATTACTACCAGGATTACTACCTGCCTACATAGAGTTACATAATTATTCAGCATGACGGATACAAACAATGGCAAGAACGTTCAATATTCGGTCATAACAAGAAGGATGTGATTAAACTTTTGTTTAAAAATCTGATGAAAACTTATTATAGATAGTGGGAAAATGTTGCAACTCAGATCGGAAAATTTAATCAACCGTCCGGTTAGCTTAATAGGTAGAGCGTTAAAATGTGAATGAGGTGACCAGAGTCGTCTCCCGTACAGTGTACGTCACATTTGATGAGATCGATAATGGAGTACTGTCTACGTTTAATACAACTGTACATCATTTTATTCAACATATACATTAGTTATTAGTTCTTTGTGACAGTGAATGCACTAGTAATCAGTGTGGTTAAATGCTTGACAGTATGCCAAAGTAGCGATGCCGTGGCTAAATTGTTCTCTGGTGAATTCAAAGTGGTTAAATGCAGTGATCAAGAGAATTTCTACCAAAATCACGACCTTTTATATCAATTCCTGAGGTTTTCCGTCCATTCAGGCGGTTACTAAGATTCATATAGAATGATGTCATCTTAAGGACGCAATTAAATTCAAATGCCTAATGGAGACCCTTCTGGAGCCCTTAACTTCATGTCAGAAGTAATTTTAGCTCAAACTAACGGAATGCCAGTGTGTTATGCTAGAATTAATCGTCTTTAACACGCGCTCAGCGAAGTATAACCACCGCGACGGTGCAATGTGAATGCCCAAGACAAACCAGAGTGTATTCGCCGTAAAAGCGCTGAAAACGCAATGGACGCAGACATTCTTCAACTTCAAGGTTATTACGACGCAGGAGCATGCCAAGGAAGTTCAATACAAGGCTTGATATACATGAAGGCGATTTTGAAAATAAAAACAGTTGTGCTAACGCAATTGGAACGCAGTATAGTGTGACTTGGAATTGATAGTGATGCATGTTTCGGTCAAAGTGTATCACAATTCTGCATTTTGTCTCAAAATTACTTTTTTATATTCACTTTTCTGCGTTACTGGCTATTCAAGGGACATAACGGTGCATATGGGGCTACAAAGTAGCATAAAATAAGATGCATTAATGTCAAATAATTATAAAAGTTCATGTCTGTAACATTAAACATAAATTAAGGTAATGAAAGTGTAATGTAATTTTGTAAAGAATAGGTAGCATTTGCTACATGTATAATACCGGTTTTCAATTTACTTTTCGATGAAAAACATAAAATTAGGAAAATCATATTCCTGCAAGATTTCAAACTGCAATATATTGCTGACTCAAAAACAAATTATAAAAACAAACACTCGCCCTAGCTTGAAAAAAAAAACCCATAATGTTTTGTTATCTCTAAAGCGATATTAATGTAATGAAATGTAATTAAAACTGATATAATTATATACCTTTGGCATTTACATGTATGTAATTATTTTTTTTACAAAACTTTAAATATTATGTAACATGATTATTAAGTCATAAAACGCAGCTGATACGAAAAATCAGGAGTGAAAACAGAAACGTTTTCTGTTTGTTATTGCATATTGATTTAAAAACTGTTACCTACATGCTGTCAGGTTTATAGAATATATAGAAAGTAAAAAATTGAATACGTTTCTGCTTTATTCATCTCTTGTAAAACAAATGCATTCTTTCGCTTTCCCAAAGGGGTTAATGAGAAATGAAAATGATTTGAATCGGTTAATCAAAGCAATTTTGTTCAGCCTTAGCATATTCAATTTACTTTATTTCTATACATAAACATGTAATATTCATTTTGTTTGATGCAAACTTTACATGACCAGACAGGGATTTTAGTTGCGTTATCATGACCTTAAAGCTTATATATTGTTATCAGCGATGTAATGTTAAATGATTTAGCTAAATATTAGGTCTGCTTGTATCATATGTTTAAATATTTTAAGAACATATTTTGAAAACATTCCTATGGCGAAATTCCAGTCTAATGGTATCAGGGTAGAAAAAAACACGTGAATATAACTTTATTTTTCTATTTATTTACACTATCAACCTTTCGGCTTACGTCTTCATTAAACAAACAGTGACGTGACGTTATAATAGTTCAAATAATAACAATTCAACTATGCGTATTTTTAAGAGTCTTACTTTATTTACAAACATTATGAGAAAGATATATTTCATCAAGGCATAATAACTTGTTAATATGTTGTCTAAACAGCAGAACAGATTTCTGAGTTTTTGAATGTTAACATTTGATCAAGATTTTCTCACACAATTACTCTTCCATTCGTCTGATAAATTGACGTCATTAATGTTGCAATGACATTACTCGCACAAGAAACGGCTTTCTTTTCCAATTAGTATTCACAAATTTAACAAAGCCTGGCAAACTTTAATTGATTGTATGATGTAGTACAATAGAATATGAATTATTGCCCGTAAATCTCACGGCATTCTTTAAAATGTCACTGTTTTTTATTGCGTATATACTGCTGTTTACGGTACTAGTTTTAACCTTTTTATTGCGTTCTCACGGAATTGTTACGACGACCATTGTGTTGTCAAGATAAAAAAAATCTAATGTAGGGCATAATTAACAAACAGGTACGAAAATGTACCATTAATGATGATCGCAGAACGCTTTATTACTACCAGGATTACTACCTGCCTACGTAGAGTTACATAATTATTCAGCATGACGGATACGGTCATAACAAGAAGGATGTGATTAAACTTTTGTTTAAAATTCTGATAAAAACTTTGTATATGTAATTTGAAAATGTTGCAGCTCAGATCGGAAAATTTAATCAACCGTCCGGTAAGCTTAATAGATAGAGCGTTGAGGTGACATGAGTCGTCTCCCATACGGTAGATATCACATTTGATGAGATTGATCATGGAGTCTTGTCTACGTTTAATACATTTGTACATCTTTTCAGGCATATAAATTTGTTATTAGTTCCTTCTGAAAGTAAATGCACTAGTACTCAGTGTGGTAAATGTTTGACAGTATGCCAAAGTAGCGATGCCGTGGCTGAACTGTTCTCTGGTGAATTCAGAGTGGTTAAATGCTGTTATCCAGAGGATTGCTACCAAAATCACGACCATTTATATCCATTCCCGAGGTTTTCCGTCCATTCGGGCGGTAACTAAGATTCATATAGAATGATGTCATTTTAAGAACGCAATTATATTCTAATGCCTAATGGAGGCTATTCTGAAGCCCTCAATTCATATTGCAACTTCATGTCAGACGCAATTTAAGCTCAAACTAACGGAAATGCCAGTATGTTATGCTGGAATCAATCGTCTTTAACACGCTCTCAGCGAAGTATAACCGCCGCGACGGTGTCATGTGAATGCCCAAGCAAAGCAGAGTTTGTTCGCCGTAAAAGCGCTGAAAACGCAGACATTCTCCGACTTAAAGGTTATTACGACGCAGTAGCATGCCAAGGCATGATATTGATATACATGAAGGCAGATTTGAAAATAAAACAGTTATGCTAACGGAATTGGAACGCGGAATAATGTGACTTGGAATTGATAGTGATAATTGTTCCGGTCAAAGTTGATCACAATTTTAGCATTTCATTTCATAATTACTTTGTTAAATTCATTCTACTGCGTTACTGGTTATACACGGTGCATATGAGGTTACAATATGTAAGTGAAATGACAAAGTAGCAAAAAATAAGATGCATTACAACAACAAATAATTATGAAAGTTAATGTCTGTAACATGATGCATAATTTAAATTAATGAAAGCATAATGTAATGTTGTAAAGAATAGATAGCATTTGCTACTGTAACATGTTATTGTAATTGTCATGGTCTTTTAAACTGAAAATTAGTTTATGAATAATATCTAAATTTAATTAGGCTACGGCATATAATTAGGCAATTTAAACATCGAAATATGCTGTGGTTAAACATATTTATAAGTATTATAATACAGTTTTTCAATTTACTTTTTGAGGAAAAAATAATAAAATCATATTCCTGTCAGTCTTAAAACTGTTATATATCGCTGACCCAAAAATAAATTGTAAAAACATGAACCAGTGTATCGCCTAAACTTGATAAAAAAAGAATATTTTGTTATATCTAACGCGATATTAATGTTATAAAATGTAATCAAAACTGAAATTCTAGCTATTCATTTGACATGTATATAATAATTGTTATAAAACTTTTAATACACACTTGATTATTAGTCATACAGCGCAGCTGATAAGAAAAGTCAGAAATAAAAACAGAAACTATTTCTGTTTACTAGTATTAATTCAAAAACTGATACCTTCATGTTGTCAGGTTTGTTAAATATATAGAAAGTAAAAGATTAAATAAGTTTCTGCTATATTCATCTCTTGTGAAACATATGCATCCTTTCGCTTTCCCTCAAGGAATTAATGAGAAATGAAAATGATTCGAATCGGTTATTCAAAGCAAATTTGTTCAGCCTTTAAGCATATTCAATTTGCTT